CAGACAAGATATTGCTAGTCATTGGCCAAAACAAACATGCATAACGCTTTAAAAAAAAAAACACATGTGAAAGGACAACAAAAATACATGAACATGCATTAAAATTAAACCAAAATGTCAGAAAAATGCATTAAAAATGCAGATGAGCAAGCATGAACCTAGGCTTAGTCCTGTAGGGGTAAGGATGGAAGAAGTTACAAATGTGTATGCAAGCTCTCTGCTCATTATTAACGACCAGTATCTCTATGTAGCTAAACAGCATCATTGTGTTATATACAGCATCACCATTGCATCATATGCATTAAAGTTATTGTTTAGGGACTACTTCTTGTTTTGCTCACAGCCTAGAAGCAGTTCTTGCACCCCTGACTATAAAAAAAAAAATAATAGTATTTGTATCCAGAGTAATCAAAAGTTTCACAGTTACTGAATTCATCACAATCCAAATATGTTTTTTTATTGTTGTACTCCTTAAAGAATAGACTTCTTTCCTTTTGTAAGAATATATGTTGCATGTGCACATTTTCAGTGGCAATCTTTGAAAAAGGTTCAGATATAGTATTAGATGTAGCATGAAGCAGAAACCCTGTCTTAATGATCACTGGGGCGGTACTGTGCCTCTAATGAATTTCTCTCCTACAGACTCTGAATTCTGTAACCCCACGACTACAAGCTGAGGACTGCAGCATAGCCTGCTTGCCAAGGAACCATGACAAGAACCGCTTCATGGACCTGCTGCCTCCTGACAGATGTCTGCCTTTCTTAATTACCATAGATGGGGAGAGCAGCAATTACATCAATGCAGCACTGGTGGATGTAAGGAGACCCCCCTCTCTGTTTGATGTGTGTAGAGGACAGGAGTCGTAGCTGATCCAGCATGATTGATGAAGTAGTGCTACAAACTATGCCAAAACAAATAGGAAATTAATGGGCAGTAATTAAAGCCCTGTTGTCATTCACTAAAATTGGATTCTCATGAAATACTGGCAAGTTGTTTGTCATTTTCAGGGTTCACCTCTTGTGGGAATGATTGTTTCACATGGCCCATTTACTTCCACTCTAGCTGTTAACACAACGCCTGGAAGCATTCAAGGTTAAAGAGACACAGGCTGAGGATCTGTTTGCAGCTCTGAGGCCACCGTGCTCTGTGAGAAGTTACAAAAGTGTTCACGTCTTCCCAGATGTCATTTAGCTGTAATGCGTGCTGCTCGATTTCTTATGTTCGTTGTTACGAGAGTTCCCATTCACATCTGTTTCTCTAGCCAGATATCACTTAAAGGGAGCTTACTGCATATCTAAAGCTGTTCTGCTAAGCCTCGTTGTTTGATACAGCCAAGAATACTTGAAGAATGTGTAATTAGACCAAACAAATTGAGAAATATATTTATACTTTACATTTTTACACACATACAAGAACACGTGAAATGTATTTTTAAATGACTCTTACAGAGAGAGCTAAAATTGGCTGCATACATCCTTGTTTACACATCACAGAACCGCAATACCATGCATTCCATGTTATTTGCTAAATTCTAACTAAGCAATTTCTCAGGCTGAATAATTAATGGATAACATTAAATTGCAAATGGAGACTGTAATGAACTACATTAGGCAGAACATTTTATGTTGCATTTTGAAACAGTCATTGCGATTTGTTTCATTTAGTGTAATTGGTTAAGTGTTATGCAGGAGAATGAAAGGCAATCAAATGCAATCATGCTTTGGTCTGTGTTTATGGTACTGGGTTTCAAATATCTTGGCTTAAATCTAAAATATCCATCTCATCTTATGGTTTGTGGTTCATCTATAACAGCTCAGTCTTATAACTTCTGTTTTGTTTGTAGTTGTGAGTAATACTAAAAAGGACTAGTTCCCTCTCTCGGCCCAGTTTCTATTCATCCTGTTAAGACAAGCATTTTACTTATCCCAGAAATATAGCTGCTGCCAAGGAACTTGATTGGCAAACATGTTGGAGCACCTCTCTAGCTTGTTATTGTAAGAAATGCACCATTCTATATTATTTAGAGCAAACCTGTACAGCGAATTATAAATGAAAAACAAAAAGTGTACTAGGTAGCTAACAGGCATAAACTGTTAGCACATATCCCTTTTCTCAACATTTGTTACTCCAATACCTTTCAGAGAACCGTTAAGTATATCTGCTCCTAACAATGGAGATTAGGCATGCTTGCAACACCATTCTATGTTGCAAAGCTTGGAGTCTGATTAGCCTTTTAGCCCCGGTTCACATATCTGCATTCCTGCGGGCCATGTTTTGCACAGGCACGAGAGACCATTCATTTAAATTGACTCCCGTGCCCTGGGACACACAGGAAAGAAGTCCCTGCACTTCTTCTGAAAATGCAGCCTGCACAGGAACCTCGGTTCCCAGTATGGTTGCAATTTCCAGTGCGGGTGGTGTGCCATTAGAGTTAATGGCACCCGCATGAGGGTCCGCATTCTTCTTTGTGGGTGGTGCGGCTCCATAGCGGCACCACCCATCGTAACTTTTAGTGTTGCACTGATAAAAGTATCGATGCCGATACTAAGAATTTTCATGATAATCGATACTCATGCAAATGCTCCGATACCTGAAACAGATACCTTTAGGCTCCCGTTCTTTCAGCTGTCAGCGGGATTCCCCACTGACATGTAAATAGAAAAAGAGCCGGCAATTGCTGGTTGTTAAGGAGAGGGGCCACTGCATCCTTAAAGTGGTTGTAAAGGCTCAAGGTTTTTTACCTTCATGCATTCAATGCGTGAAGGTAAAAAAACCTGTGTGCAGCAGTGCCCCAGCCCCATCAATACTTACCTGAGCCCCATCGCGATCCTCGGCTATCCTCCTCATTGGCTGAGACAGCAGGCGGGAGCCGTTGGCTCCCACTGCTGTTGATCACTGCCAGGCAGCTCATGAGGGGAGAGAGAGGGGGGGAACCAAGCCGAAGCTGTGTGTGTGAATGGGCACACGGAGCAGCGGGTTGCTGCTTGCTATGGGAGCACCCTACAGAAAGGAGGAGCCAGGAGTGCCAGCAGGGGACCCAAGAAGAGGAGGATCTAGGCTGCTCTGTGCAAAACCACTGCATACAGTAGGTAAGTATAGACATGTTTGTTGTTTTACAAGAAAAAAAAAACCTTTAGCATAACTTTAACAACCAATGACTCATTTAAATGTCAGCAGGGTTCCCCTGCTGATAGCTGAAGTGTAAACAAGTCCCAAATTGGAACTTTCAAAAAAAATATCAGCCTGACAATGTTATCAACTTTGCTGAGGCACTAAAACAGAAAGATAAAAAGAAACATTGTATCTTTCTGTTTATGCATCTACAGATCAAAGTGATGAACTTCATCAGGTAAAGGCATCCTGTCATGTAAAAAAAAAAAGTTTTAATTTCAAAGAAAAAAAAAAAAGTTCCTCTATTTAAGCCCTACTAACCCTAATTTACTTTAATCAGTCCCAATTTAACTCCTTATTCTCCATTTAATTAATTTTTTTTTTATTCTATTTTATTTTTTACTCATTTCTATTTTATAAAATATTGGTAATTAAATTAAATTTGTTTTTTCTTTATTATAATTTTTACACATTTTTACATATATTTCACATTGAAAAAAAACGGAAAATTGAAAAAATAAATTTATTTTTCTAAATAACTTTTTAATGCTTTGTACCAGAATTATAATTTTAGTGTAATTTTATACAGGACAAATTACAGAATAAAATGTGCACTTTTTATATGCAGTAACACTATTTTTAATCTAATACTGCCCAAAAAAATGAAAAAGTGTCTTTTTTTTGTTTTTAGATTTGTTACTTTTAATTGTCCAAGGACTGCGAAACAAATGATTGTAGCAAGACAATATTCCCCCCCAAAAAAGCCTTGTTTGCCCTAAAAAAACAATATATGTATTACGTTGTTATATGTCAAATGTGAAAATTGGTCTGGTCCATAAGGGGTGAACAGGTGTGAGAGATGAAGTGGTTAAGGAGCGGGGCCGCTGTCCTTAGCAACCAATCACTCATTCATCTGTCAGTGGGGTTCCCCTGTTGACAGCTGAACTGCAGACAAAACAGTTGCTGGCAGATATCGGTAAAGGCAAGTACAAAAAAAAAAAAGTATGAGTACTCGTACTTACTGTAAAAAAAGTGGTATTGGTGCATCCCTAATAACTTTTCTTCTGGAGCAACAAATGTTATGATGAGTGATGTGTTCTAACAGCTTGTGCTGTAACCTGGTACTGCTACTACCCGGGTTTTTTATTCTTCCCATCTTGCTACACTTTAAAAATATAGACACAGAGTTTATTGCACTTGGATCCATATAAACGATTTCCGTGAGATACTGAACATTGCCCATAATCACTGCTCTTTTGTACAATTTCACTTAAAGAAGACCTATTATGAAATTACATTGCCCTGTCCTAACTATCATGCTTACCTAAATCCATAAACTGTAAATGAGCTACAGATGTACATACCTTTCCTGAAAAAAATGGATGGTCACACAATCAAATGCTGGAGTAATGGTCATTTTCCTGTGCAGAGGCAACATATCTTGTGTACTAGTGTAACAGGACTTTATCTTTTCTATTTATGAGTTTTACAGTAGTAAAATATGTTCTGCATTCTAGCCAATAACACTAGAGAGGTGTGAGAAGTCTAATGTGCTCTTAGGTTTGGGGTAATCTAAACCCGCTTTTGCTGGTGCAACCTACCACCAACAGCTATTACCAACTATTGGTGGTAGGTTACCTTGGACTGTTTGGTAATGTTTGCAGTTGAAAGTGGTAAATTGCAGCAAAATTGCCTAGTACACAGCCAACATTAGAGATACAACAAGAAGACAAAAAAGTGAGAAGTACCTAAAAGAAATAACCTTGTTTGTCATCTTTTGCAGAGTTACAGACAACCAGCTGCCTTCATCGTTACCCAGCATCCTCTTCCAAACACTGTGAAAGATTTCTGGAGATTAGTATATGACTATGGATGTTCTTCATTAGTGATGCTTAGTGAAGTGGATTTGACACAGGTCATTTTGGTTGAAAATAAAATATGTAACCAATTGCTCTTAAAAGACATGCTTTTCACACAAAGTTTGATTTTGGCACAGGGATGTCCACAGTATTGGCCTGAAGAAGGCATGTTGCGGTATGGTCCAATCCAGGTGGAGTGCATGTCCTGTTCAATGGACTGTGATGTAATCAGCAGAATCTTTAGGATATGTAATCTGACACGGGTACATACAAACTTTTTTTTTTTTTTTTTATGGAGTTATAACTGTATAAAGTGTGCCACAAAACCTTCCCTTTAAGTGACAGTCTTTAGCCACCTAGGTATGGGGCAATGCAGATCACATTTTGGTTTATTTTAAAGGATCATGGTAGATCTGAAATAAGAGCACGTCTACTGTGTTTTTCTTTGCCAGGCTATTATTGATATCTTTAGGTAGTAGGCCACTGACCCAGGACAATAATGTGTTTCTAGTCTTCTATCTTATTATGTGTTTGTATGGTGTCAGTGGCTCACTCTAAAGGTAAGCCGAGGGAATCTTTGTCAAATTGTATATGTTTGGTCAGCTTACATGAAGATGTACAGTATATAGAAAAGAACTCAAGCAGTCCTCAATTCTGTAGCTAGTTTGATAAAAAATTTAGACCTAAAGGTTAAAGAAAATCTTGCATTAAAAGATAAGTTAAAAAGAAAAAAAATTATAAATGCACATCTTTTTGCACATAACATTTTTTTAAAAATGTGCATTGTTAATTTTTTCACTTCAAGCTTGCAAAGCATTGCACCCACCATCAGCAGATCGTGGGTGCAATGCAGGGCTCTTGCAGACTGTCAGTGTAAGCTGTCTGATTGTATCTTGTACGGGCAGGCAGTTACACACTGACAGGGAGCATCAATGAACTACCTAGAGTGCTCAACAGCACCCTGATAGTTAATTGAGAGCCACAAGCCAAGGGCTGCAAAGGCTGTTGGTACACGTAGTTCTCCCATTCACAGAACTCTGTGAATGAATGATGAAGCAGGACATGAGTTTTTACATGGAAGAATCTCAAATAGGGGTTCATCTTAGACATCAAAAAGGAAATAATTTATTGTGTATAATAAATATGTATATATATGTATAATCATGTATTGCCCCCCTCTCTATTGTACAGCGCTGAGCAAACCCATTGGCGCTATATAAACTCGATGTAATAATAATAATATTTTTATGAAAATTTTGGGGCTCTGATATGTATTTGGACATTTATGCAGAAGTATCATGCTGGTCAAAGTGCCCTTGTAATGAGTGGTTCTGTTTAAAACTATGAAGATACTAACAACTGGGCAATGCATAGCAATGAACATATTAAAAGCTGGGTTCAGAAAGGGCATTTGTCTGCCATCTTTGTTCTTACTGGGGAAATTTCCTTTCACTTACTATTAGGACAGAACGTGATGGGTACTCTCTGAAATGGCTACACAGACAAAAACACACTTATAGTACAGGGGAGGGGGGGGGGGGGGGTTAGACTTACACATACAATATTTGTTACTTTTTGTTCATTCTTGTCATGGAGACAGCTGCTGTTCTTGATTTTCTTGTAGTAATTAGCAACCCCATTGGGGTTATAGACAGAGATCGGAACCTGACAGAAGTTATAATTCTTCCCAAAAATAGAAAAAAAGCAAATCAATTGGCTTTTATAGCAAGGTTACTTGTATATTATGGCATACCTTCTTAAATATAAAGTGACAGGTGAGAGATCCATTTATGCAAAAAAAAAATCATCATCCTTTAGGAATTCATAAACAGTTGGTTTGTGTGTGTTGATAGGCCCAAAGAACATCTGATTTACTTGTTCTTTAAGGGAATGGATCTTCTCGGACCTGCATTTGACAGTGTTATTCCAGATGCCACTAGTGGTCAGAGTGCATGACTGCCTTACTGTGGGTGGATAGGAGAAAACCCCATCCTTCATCTATTACTACAGTAGTACATTTTAGGTGATTAGAGTATACCTCCCAATTAAGCCACAGTTCCCAAAGCCAGAAGTCCTCAATCTCATTTGCTCAGTCCTCTGCAAGTTGGGACATCTTTGTTCACCCTAATGAGTCCTGCTAGTCTAGCTCCTTACAGTTTGGATGTTTAGACTTCCTTTGGTAGATTCTGCTTTAGACCAATTAGCAAGGTACCTTTTTTAGCTGCCCCTTCTCACTCTTTTTGTATTACTTCACCCCATTGCACCAGGTTTGTTTGGCTTTCTTGCACCCTGGGATCTCTGATTCGTACTGTGATAGCACCTTATCTATGGGAATGGTATCCCACTGACTCTCACATTCACCTCTGCATGGTAGTCTTTTTCCTTTATAAATGGCTACACCCCTTGTAGTAGTTGACTTTCCTCAACAACACTGACCCTTATATCCACCCTAGTACCTTTTCCCAGCATCTCAATTGTGAAGCACTCATGAGACCTTCCCTGATGAAAGTTAGTTTCCATTGTGAATAGCATATTTTTCCCATTCACCTCTTTGGGGGTTTGTGTGTAGAATGTTTCTTCCCCATTCACTTCTTTCAGGGTTTGTGGTATTGTTGGGGAATTTCCACTTAACATTCCCTTTCTGTGCTGTCTTTCAATCTTTTATGGTCACTTCCTTTGAGTTAGCAAGTCTGGTATTTGGACAAGGTACAAAGCTGTTCCTTTTGCAATGAGAAATCCTGGAAACTTTTCACCAGACTCTCTTGCCTACTCCTTGAATACGGTTCTACGGAACAGAAATTTTAGAGTCGGTGGGGGATCCCTCTGTTGATCAGTCTTTTAATTTGAATTGCACTGGACCTCATCTGGTGGCTTCAAAAATCTTCCTCTCTGAAAAGATTTGAGAACATCCCTTTTAACTGACCAGCGGACCTACTTCCTACACTAGACAGTGTTGCGTGTGCCATTTGTGACCACACTATTTTCTTACCAGGATTTACTGGATCTCCTCATATGATTACCACTTTGAAGAGTGGGGGCTTCTGTAAATGTGTTCTTCTCCTTTCTCCCTTGAATAGAGTATCTGTAGCTGGAAGGTCCTGTCTATTCTTGGAGGGTCAGCAAACAAAACACTCTACAAGATAACACAAGTTATCCTGTTGCAGATATCCGTAAAGTGGGATAGTAGTATAAATCTAAAGGCTTTCATGGGTCCTAATTACCGGGGGAACCTTGTGATCAAGCTGCAGTCCCCTTATGTTACTTCTATCCTCTGTATTCCTCTGTTCTTTATTACACAAATATTCCTAGTGCTATTCCTAGGATTCCTGCACCTAGTTCCTCAGCAGAGAGTGGTGTAGACTGAATGATTCTTAGAATCACATATTTAATAACAGCTTGGCTAAGGTGCAATGTGTTTACCACATCACTGAAAAACCCATTTTGTTAGCTGGAAGGTCTCTTAAACATCATTCTGGTACAGATGTCCTTGTATGACAGTTTGTAGTACAATATTTCCTCACCCCACCTACCCTTTTATACAGATGTTGTTAATCACCCCGCACTCTGCTTGAGAAAAAAAGGGTCATCACGCTTAAAATTTTCTCAGCTTAATGTTTCTTCTTCCTTTTTCCATTTAGTTTTTATTCTATGAATGTGTATTTCTTCAGGGGTTTACTTGTCCATCAACATCCTGATCAATGGACCTACCTCACCCTGAAGTTAAGGTTATTTTAAGCTCAAGCCTCTGGCTATTGACTAGTGTGGCTTGTTTTTGGCATTGATTTTTTTCCAAGCTTGCTTTCCCTGAAGTCAAGGGTTTAGTAAGTTAGGCTTAGAGTCTTTCATCCAGTTATCCATTTTTTTTTCTATTGGACATGGTATGTCTTTTTTTTAACTTTTCTTTAATGATCTGATCTATCTTTGGTATTTGTCCCAGTAAACCTTTCTGTTTTGTTATCCACTGTAGCTATTTGGTCTAAATTTTCTCCCTTTCAACCCTGGAAAAATCAGGTACCTCCTGATTTTTCTGGTGGATAGTTGGTTGTCCTCCAGTTATATAGTTAGTTGTCTTTCAGTTAGCAGTTTCCTCTTAGTGATGATTCTCTGTCCTTGTCTGAAGCACCAGGTTGATCCTTGATGCCCTCCTTTTAGAGTCATGGTAACTTCCATATTATTTATTTTGTTGGCCCCTCTTTAACCTTTGTTTAGTCATTTTTTTTCCGTTCAGTTTTCTTTTGTAGTATGATCCCCACATATGCTGGATCTCGTGGTGGCTGTTGTCCACTGCTTTTGGATGTCCCAACTGTTTAGGAAATCCTAAGATTCCTGTTTCCCTCAATGGCCAAAAAAAAATAAGATTTTTCTACTGGCTGTATTTGCCTTAAAAAAAGTTTTTTCGTCTATTGAGGGGCCTTATGTACTGCTGGATCACAAAAGAGCCCCTGTATAACCTGATTCCAGTCATGACGGTTGAAAGCAGGTTATACGGGAGCTGTCCTAATGATTAACGTTCTTATTTACCTGTGTCCCAACCTTCTGAAGGTGGCAGTAGGACTCGGCTGTTTAAATATTGGTAAGATTCCTGTGCTCAGGAATAGAGTAAAAAAGAAAACGTATGAGTGCAAAAATTTCAGTTATATTATGGAAAATGTCATCTCAGCTTTAATATATTGATACATTAGATCAGATGACTACTTAGCTTTAATGTTGATGAATGTACAGTTTAAACACTAATTTCTTTGTCTTTAAACAGCCTCAAGAAGGATATCTCATGGTGCAACAGTTTCAGTACTTGGGATGGGCAGCTCACAGGGAAGTACCAAATTCCAAAAGATCTTTCCTGAAATTAATTCTGCAAGTTGAGAAATGGCAAGAGGAGTGTGATGAAGGAGAGGGACGCACTATTATTCACTGCCTGTGAGTTACCCATTGAGACATTGTGTACCATAGTGTCATGTTTCTCGTCCTTTCATGTACTTATTGCTCTGCCCGGCTTGGTTATGCTGGTGACAAATTATATGGTTTAGAGTTAGAAATGTGTGAATGAATGTATTCATTTATTTGTTAATTTTTGTTTGGCTCTACTTTTCCTGCTTTCACATTCATGTATAGGTAAATTGCCCATATCAGCAGAGTTTGGAATTCCGTTTACTGTAAAAACATTGCTACCTTTTGAATACTTGCTAAAGAGACATTTACATTCCAATTCATCCAGTAAAGGGCATGTACAATTGTTCTGTGCAAATGGGGCAAAAATTGTTTAGATGATTTCCTAGCTCATTGACTGTGGTTTCTTATATTTCTCTGGAGGCTTTTGCATTGAAATCTCCCCAGTGGAGATTCTAGTTGCCCTCCTTACCTCATCGTAGAGTTGTATATCCTAATGCTGCAGGTCAAGAGCATTTTGTTTTTCATTTTTCTAATGTCAAAAGTATTCAGTATGCCACATGATGTGTAAAACTCCCTTTGTAACTGCTGCATCAGTTGAGCAATTTTGTAATTTGGGTATAAAGAATACTGCCCCCAGAGATTTAAAAAATGTAATGCACTAATGAGCTATTTGGCCCCTACCTAAACTGGAATTTCTGTTTAGGGTGGACTGATGCCAACAATAATTGTATATTCCCAGGAATTAATTTTTTATTTAAAGTCATTTTGTACATTTTAACTTCTATTATTAGGAATGGTGGAGGAAGAAGTGGAGTGTTCTGTGCCATTAGTATTGTGTGTGAAATGATCAAGAGGCAAAATGTGGTGGATGTTTTCCATGCAGTAAAAACCCTACGCAACAGCAAGCCAAATATGGTAGAGACTCCGGTAAGTGCGAGTGTAATCATGGTCTTCTAAACTACTGTGTTTAGATAAAAGCCACCTGTGATGATGTATTACTAGTATACAATACTGCATTCTATTGTGAATTTGGCATAGCATTCCATTCATTGAACTGATGCAACTTCTCTCTATTCTGTTATTTCATTGTGGCATTGTTTTGTACTTGCTGTTTAATGCTGTTTTAACTTCAGCTGGAGTAAAGTAGTGCTATCATTGCAAGACTTTTAAAGCAATAGTTAACTGCTTTATAAAAAAAGGAGAAAAAAAAGTCCCCCAGCAGGCTTATATAATAATGTGCTAGTATGCACCACATACATTATGACAGACTTGCCTAAGAAATGGATCCCTCCAGCGGTGCATTGTCACCGCTAACAGGAAATCCATCTTCACCTGGTCTTCCTTCTGGGTTTGCTTGCTCCAGCCATTTGAATATACGAACCACAATGATGTGACTGCTACTCGTGCACATGGAAGTCATGACCATTGCACAGCTTTCTCAATGGATGGTATGCAGTCCGAATTCGGTGTGACATCACAGGCTGCTAAACATGTAAATCTCTCCAACCATATTATAGGCTTACCTGTAGGTACAAAATAACAAGGAGTTTACTACCACGTTAGGTCATGTATATTTGTTAGTTTCTCTTCAATTTTGAGATTTCTAGTGTAAGTACATTTCACTGTTGAATCCAGTGGTAGTATATAAAATATGGCAAAATCCAACTCGAATAAAGCATTATTTTCTTGCAAACCATTAACCTGAACTTTAGGTTAAATAGTGTAGTCCGCAATATTTAAAATAAATATTTAAAAAAAATGTACAGTAAAAGAATAAAAAAAATAAATTCTTCAGAAATTTAGGGCAAAATGTATTCTGCTACATGTCTTTGCTATAAAAATTCCAATAAATGTATATTAATTGGTTTACGTGAAAGTTATAGCATCCACAAATGGCGGTGTGTATATATACTGGAATATTTTTTTTTTTATACTAATGGCGGCGATCAGCGACATATAGCGGGACTGCAGTGGACATTCTGACACTGGGTGGGAACTAACTGCCTCTGACATTCCCAGTGACACTAAAACAGTGATCAGTGCTAATAAAAAGCACCGACACTGTACTAATGACACTGGGCAGGAAGGGGTTAACATCAGGGTTAACTGTGTGCTGTGTGTGTTTTGCTAGGGAGACATGCTGCTTTGCACCTCTCTGCTGTGCAGAGAGATACAAAGCAGCATGTCTATGCTGACAGGAGAGATCTGTGTTGTTTACAAACAGGTCTCTCCCCTGTCAGCTCTGCTGACGATCGTCGAGTCCTGACCGAGAATCGCCAGCCAAGACCCGGTAATTCACACGTTCAGCAGCCAATAGCGGCGTGGGTAGGGTGGCGCGCATGCACCTCCTACCCGGAACTGCAAATCACGTATATATATGTGACTTTGCGCATCCCTGCCGCCCTGTAGCAGTATATCTGCTCTGGGTGGTGGTGTGGGGGGGAGTGGTTAATAATTCATGGGTCAAGAATTCTAGGCATGGCGGTTGAAGTATCTGAAAGACCAAATTTATTTTTAGTCAGACATGGAGCCTTTTATCAAAGGGAAATCAAATGAATGGGCACATTCTGTTATCAAGGAAATTTTTGTAGCTAGAACAAAATAACTGATCTGTATTCTGGATATGCGGTTAAAGAAATATCTAGATCAAGTAGTTGAATTGTTTCTAAATAAATTCTTCATTTTATCTTTTATCTTGAAAAAAAAATGCACTCAAATTCCTTGTACATTACAGTACAACAATTCATCCATATTTAACACTGCTCATCAATTCATGGTAATGTACTGTTTGCACAGAATGTGGTGTCCCCTAGGATCTTCAGCATATATCACTTTTGCTGAGGAAATAAAGGAACCGAGGCAAATTATGGAAATGCTGCAAAGCAAACATTCCTCAAATGAGCTGTGCAGTTAATGAGAAATAATGTTTGTTTGGATAATTGCTTTCTAATTATTATTTTTTATAGAGGATGTTAATAGGGGTGTAGATATACTGTATTTAAAATGGAACATGTTTTGTTGCTAAAAATTCCAAATGGTAGTAGATCTAATTGCATTTTACTTGTGAACATTTTATTCTGTAGTTTTACCTTGATCGCTGCTATAAGAAGCCAGTTCATCAAGTAGTGGGTTTGTGCTTCAATGGGAAAAGGGAGGAGCTAGCCTTTTTTAATTTTGATAGTCTTAAAACCTACAAAAGTGATATCTGTGTCCACATTTGGGTATGTGAGGGGGGATTTTTCCTCTTCATGTCTGTATGATAGTTACCAGCCAAAAAAAAAGGAAGTAAGCAAAATCCCCTCAGGTGGGCATAGCCAGCTATAAAGACACATTTTCTAGTAAAGAAGAAAGGTTTAAATTTTTTTTGGGATACTACTGCTGCCCATGTTTCTTTTCAGGGAAATTTCTTCTCATTTTCTGTCTAGTTTACAGCTGACTGGCAAGAAGAAATGAGAAATCTCATTGACAGGGACACTGTGACAGCCTTTAATTCCTAGCAGTTATGCACTCTATTAAAAGCTTTAAAAACTATCCTAGCCCTCTCTTTATTCTCAGGGTTAGGATTACTATTAGGCACATGGGGTTTTAATCTGGGAAGGAGCAAACAAACTCCTGTGTATAAAAAGGTGATCCTAGCAGAGGGTGCAAAATGTTGTTTGTCTACAAGCTCCAGGGAATCCATTCCTGGTTATATTCCTGCCATTGCCACTCCAAAGTACTTTCCAGCATGGCACTGTAGCTGCCTGTCACTGTCTATCATGGTATTGTTCTGCAAACCTTTCTGTAGTTAGATACTATCCTAGGAATTCTACAATATAATGCAATTATATGTTTTATATGTTGTGAATATCACTATTGCATAATGATCTAAATTGATTATGGCTTAATTGGTCATAACTGAACTCAGAATATTGGCTATGCGTTTACTGGATTCATGTTTTAATATGCATTAACACATGCATATTTTGAGAGAACAGTGAAGAAATGGCAAACCCAGATACTCCTGCGCTTAGGGATGGACTCTGTATAGATAGGACCATATCATGAATTTCTTGGGAAATGCACTCCTTGCTGCCCTCAAATAACCGGGGAAGTCCAAATATACTGAATAGAGAAAAACAGAGGTCGCACTGGCCTAGTGCATTACTCTTTTTTATATCCGTTTACATCTTTATAAAGTTCCATGACCTTGTTATGGTAGTTCTTTTGACAGTTCTTTTCTGCTCCTCATGGCTCAGTATCTAGCCTGCTCAGTGGGAAATTAAGTTTTTAATGCCATTTTAACCTGTGTGTGTCACCGTGTGTGTGTGCACCATGGCCAAACATTCCAGGGTATGTAAACTTTTGACCAGAGCCATTTGGGTGATTTCTGTTATTTAAAAACAGGAGCCAAACTATGTGATGATATATGGCTTCATTTGATTGCTATCCTTCAGTCAAAGACCATTTTTTGGCATGATCAATCATACTTTCAAAATGAATGCCCAAAATTTCACAATTTCTGCCAGGGTACACAACTGTCACAACTGTAAACAAAATAGGAGTGAGGAAATAGCACTGCAAAATGGAGATGGGATGGGGCTCAGCAATGACTGAAAATAAATATTTATTATATTTAACGTCTACTGCTTGGACATAAATGGGGACACGTGCCATGTGCACAGGAACCCCTGGGACGGACCTAAACTTTTTCTGCTTCTGGTGATGGCTCTTCTTTAATGACACCTACTGAAAACTGTGTTTTTCCCTTTTCTCTACATTTCTGAGTATGTAAGCAAGCATATTTAGAAATCCCTTTTTACTACTAGATTATCATTGGCCTTCTTTAAGTGGATTCCTTATTCTTTTTGATATTGAGTTTAATTAATTTTACCTTATGAAATTAGAAGCTTTTGGATATAAATGGATATGAAAGTGTGCTGTTAGTAATAAAACAAATGCTAAGAGAAATCAATAGAGAATAAATCAATAGAGAAGGCAGTTTGTGTTTATTTCTGTCCATTATTGACTTGTTCTGAAAACTTGGCTCTCACATTAACAAACGTGCTTCATTCTCACATACTGTTATATCCAAGAGCCAAAACTAACCGTGCTGAAGTTAACACACTGTGCCTGCTGAAGATCAGGTACTAACTCATTTTTATGATGCCGCTCGGCTGTGAAGTCAAAGGTAATGTGATTTACACATACTGTTGCAGTATAGTGGAGAGAAAAATATGACTTTACATTTCCGACACGCACTTGAACACATTTTTCTAAGAAATGTATCTAGATATAGGTAGTGCGGTGATCATGGATGTATTAATTTGTGCTGACATCTGTGGCACATTTTTATCATAGTGAAGCCCATTCCAAATGCTTCATTAACTTTTTTTTATTTGCCCTTGATAGCTGTGATCAATGATTAGCTAACCTTTTGTAACCCATAGCGTTCCTGAACATCATATTTTACTGTTCTTACGTGACAGCCCATGTACTGCAATAAATACCATATGTACTTACCTTCAGTGAATGTTTCAGCTCTTGGAGCAGAGCAGAAACTATCTAATACCATATTAAATGCCCAAAGCCCTAGGTGGTGGACTCACGCTTTTTACTCTTCAAATTTAGCTACTCCAGGTAACACATTTAATAATTTAGTAAACTGCAATATATGAGATGCCAAAGTCAGAAAGTCCACTCAGTTTGTTTTAGGACCAACATTGGACAAAACTTTTTTTTGTTTTATATAAAAGTGGTAATGGTTAAGATCTCTGCCTGGCTTTTATTGCTGTCTGTGTTGCCCTTGGAAAGATTTACTCTAATTTCCTGTCCCATGACAGGGTGTCACAAAAACGGGAAGTGATGGGATCTCTTTTTGATGCACAAAGAGACAGTAACAAAACACATTTATTTTGTAGATTTAGGAAGGTGTGGAACATATGTTACTTTTATTGCATGTTCTCTGGCATGGTGACTTTCACACCCTCTAAGCCCTCGTCAGGACAGGAATTGAGGAGAAGTTTCCCCAGTGAGAACATAGACCACAATAAAAGCTGGACAAAGGATCTGACTCCTACCTACTCTGCTTTAAAAAAATATATATATATTTTTGGCTGGAGTTAGGCTAGCCTTAGTTTATTTCCTGTCAGCTAGCTTCTGCATGAATATCACATTAGAGAACTACAATAATTATGTACTATGTATCCTGCCACGTGGGGGCAGAGGTACAGTGTGCTCAGAAAGAGGGTAGTGTAAGTGCTAAGGGGCTCATTTAAAATGGACAGCGGATATCACTATCCTTTTTCAGCTAGTCTATTCATAAAATGCAGGCCATGGTGTGGAAATTGAGGTGTGTATTTTTTTTCTTCAGTATACTGTATTTATTAAAAGGTTTTGTAATACAAATTAAAAATAATAGTAATAATAAACCAATATGCATACATGTAATGTGTACAACACATTATATAACTTAAAATGGCCATTTCTCAAAAGGTGCAGTCTAAAGGACTAAAGGCCCAATTGTTAGATGTGCCAAAATGATGTGCATATTAACAAATATAAACCAAATAGCCTCATAATGGAGAGGTCAAGATACTGCATGTCAAAAAAAATATAATCTGTAGCCTAAATTATAGAAAGAAAAAAATGAAAAGTAAATTCACTACAGGCTATGCATAAAGTCAATGTAAGCATAGGTCACATTCATTTAGTTTTTTTTCTTAAGAAAAAAAGAACAAAAGGCCTTAAAGTGGTTGTAAACCTAAAAAAAAAATCAATCTAATCCTACAGTTGACTAGATTTTACCTTTACTGGGCATCTGAGCTTAGTTTGTTATCTTGAAGCAATCCCCTTCTCCAGAAATACCCCCTGCTCTTCTGAACAGAATAAATCCGACACAAGCAGAAAAACGGTGTCGCCACTCCCCTTCTCCTGTGACAGGGTGTGCTGAAGACTAGACCAGCATGAGTCTCCATGTAATACACTGCAAAGGTGTGGGGGAGCAGGTGTCCTCTCCCTGCTGGTCTCTGCCTTCACAAGATCGAGAACTCAGCACCTGTGATTTATTACATAGATCGGCATCACTTCAGTAATGCTGTACTTATCAGCTGTCAGCAGACTTACCTAGATTGTCGTGCTCTATTTACAGCACCTAGCTTGTGAATTGCTGTTTACAGAGTTTTCAGGTCCACATTGCCACTTTAGGTTGTAAGATACCTAGGATTTTTAACATTAACCCCTTCCTACCAGCTTTCTCCTAATTAGCACAGATCCTGACATAGTCACTGGCACCTGTGTATTCCCCTGAATGCACTCAGGAGATATACTCGCAAGCATAGAGATATCAGATAGCTGTGCACATTCTTGAGCCGAGGCTGGAGGGTGTGTATAACTGAGGGATTGTGTGACATCACATCTCTGCCTACTATTCTCAGGCCAAAGTTCAGGATTTTGTTTTACTTTCACTTTCAATAATAATAATAATAAACAGGACAAGTAGAGATTGTGAATCTAGTCTACAATAAAAATTGACAGATGTTCTAATCCCTCTCCACCCTATCCAAAACTAAAAAACGTTTTGCCTTTAGTTATGCATTAAGATCTCCAGAAGCAATAGTTAGGTGGCATTATTAAAAAAAAAATTAATTTGGCATTTCACAAAGTAGAACCGTAGGTGGCCTGTTCAACAAGGCCTGAACTGGATCCTTACGTAGTTTACAATCAAGAACTGTGTGTATTTTGGAGTGCACTCTAATCCACAGCCTCTGTGAAAGCAAAGGGGGGAGTATTTGGGAATGTATTTAGAAATCCAGGAGGAACTTAAATACCATCACATCAAAACTTTGTATGCATTTTCAATGCCAAAATGATTTTTTTTGTACTTTGCTTGCTTTGTAATAAGATCAGAGTTCTATTTGGGCTTTTTTTTTTTTTTGTTAGATAGCAGTATCGCCATTTCAAGGCCATCCTGATTTATTAATAGGCCCCATAGCCATAGGGATGACCAGAAGATGAGGAAAGCAGAAAGTAAAAATTGGAAGATAAATTCAATTCAGTCACTATTTCACCCCACCCCTGACACCCAAAGTCAGTTTTTATGTAGCATTTTTAGTTTTGATTGTAGAATCCTTGTACACAATATAAGGTCCTCTGGCAATTATGATGCTTTAAAACCTGAGCCCTACCTTGCTTGTTAGGGTACTAAAAAAAAAAAAATAAAAACCTCAGGCAGCATTGTGTTAGTGTTGATACTTATGGAGCAACCCTCAGAGTTTCCGTTTTAGATTTAGACAAAGAGGAGGCATGGCCAGATGATGCTGATATAGACTCACCTCCCAAAAGTGACAAAGTTAATTATCCACTTCAGGGTCGATTTACAAACACCGAGCTTGACTCCGCACACTTTTTTCATGCATTTAATTTACTAGAAGAGAACCCCACTCCATAATTAAAATATTCACAAACACCATGACTTGCCACAGTCAACTTTTTAGCCTGTGGGCTAGTATAATATTGAAATGACACCCAGTCTCTTCACAGTTATGTTTCTAGAAACAAATTAAGAGGGAATAAACATCCTAGAGATCATAGTGTTTCCTCTATCACTTGCATGCAGTGAGTGTGCTGCCATCTACGCAACTGTTGTGTTTTAGCATCCTTAGCTGTTAATTATAGTTATGTGAAATGGAATCGGAATGGCAATAACATTTTCTATGGCTTTCTTCATGTATATTCCCTTCCAGACCAGGTAAAATAGATGAAACCACCTTCTTGGTTACGGGCTTTCAGCTTGTTTGAACAATTTCCAATCTTTTCAGGTTTACAAAGTTGTGTGGTCAGAAAGGTTAAAGTTATATTAAACCCACTACCACAATTCTCAGTTTATATTATGTTTACATAGCATTAAGCCTGGATGCCTGTCTCTCAGTTAAAAAAAAAAAAAACAAAAAAAAATCTAAATACCTTTTTAATGCCTTAATCAGCCATAATCAAAATTGGTAAACCATAGTCGCGTGACTTTGTTTCACTAGGCTCACAGCACGGTTCCTGATTGCTTTTGCCAGCAGCTTTGTTTGTGTGAAACGTGAGACTAGTAAACCTGGAAGACATCCCATATCAATCATGACTACTGCTAGTCCCATCCAGTTTAGTTTCAGAGCCCCCCCCCCCCCGGGTAATGTGAAATGTCACGCGGTACAGCTCAGAGAGGAAAGTGAAAGCACTGAACAGACATTGCGGTGCATTTGCAGGGTGTGTGGTGACGTAGCGGCCACGGAATCTGCTCCTTTTTTTTGACACTGAGATGAAAGAGTACATTAGAAATGGCAGGATAAACCAGGTATTAATCAAAAAAATATATCATATGGGGAAAGAAAAGGTTCCCAGTATAGGTAAAGGGCACCATTTATAAATATACATGCCAAGAAAAAGTTTGGGGTTTCATGGCTCTTTAACCGGTTCCCGACCACGCTATAGCCAAAAGACGGCTACCGCGCGCTTGGTTAGTTCTGGGAGGACGTCCATGGACCCCCTGGGGCGCGCACTGCACGTGATCTGTAATTGCTGTATCCTTCGGACACAGCTGATCTTATGGCTACGGAACGGGCCAATCACAGCCACTTTTACCATGTGACCAGCTGTGTCAGATCACAGCTGATCAACAGGTAAATAGGATATGTCGGTTATCGGCAGCTCGTGAGGAGAGGAGAGCCGGTAAGTAGCATTACGCAGGGGGTCATCTACACTGATCATCAGGGCACTGATCATCAGTTTCCTGGTGATTAGTGTAGCCCCATCAGTGCAACCAATAGTGCCAATCAGTGTCCATCTGGCAATCAGTGCTGCCTAACAGAGCCTATCAGTGGCCATCAGCGAAGGAGAAAAATTACTTACTTATAAACTTTATAGCAGAAACTAAGAAAAACTTTTTTTTTTTTTTCAGAATATTTAGTCTTTTTTAGTTTGTTTAGCAAAAAATAAAAATCCCAGTGGTGATCAAATACCACCAAAAGAAAGCTCTATGTAGCTAAAAAAAAAGATAAAAATTTAGTTTGGGTACAGTGTTTCATGATCATGCAATTGTCATTCAAAGTATAAGCGAGAAAATTGGCCTGGGCAGGAAGGGGGTAAAAGTTCCCGGTAGGCAAGTGGTTAAAGATGTAGTGACCAAATCATGGAAAGTCATATCATGCTGATTAGTTTAGGCATCTGTATGCAGTATGAATTCTCTTCTGTGTGAAAAGCTTGGTTTTTTTTGTTTTTGTTTTTTTAAACACTTTTCTTTAGATTCCACCAGTGGTCATTGTAAACGTTTATCAATGTCTTCTTAATTGCTGTTTTCATTTGGTAGCTACTATTCTTTTTGTTTTGTTTTAACAGGAACAATACCGTTTCTGCTATGATGTTTCCTTGGAATACCTTGAATCGTCATAGTTGATGTGCCAACCTGCATTTAATGTTCGGACAGATACTACTCCAGCTTTGCAAAGGGGGATTTTTACACCGGACCTTAAAAGTTTTAAACTAAAACAAAAAAAAAATTAAACGAAGAGAAAGTATTTTTCTTATGACTTTCTGTATCTTCATAAAAGAACTTGAACTGTTTTTATGGCTGTATAAAGTATTGATGGATTTAGTGCCACATTATCACACACAGTGCTGGAGGCGGAAGCTGGACAAGTCTCTACGTCACAAGGATTTGTATGTATTTGTATATGCAGCCGTCTCATGAGACAACTTTAGAGCCAATATGTTGCATGTGTCTATATTTACAATGTGGCAGTTTTCTCTTTTTTTAATACAATTTGTTTAAGAAAAATGCAAAGGAAAGCCGAGCAGATTTGATGGTAAATCCTCTTTACATTTCAAGTGTCACCTATCTGTACTTGGCTTACTATTTTTTTCTCACATTGATGGCTGGATCATATCATATATATTATTTTGGAAAAACAAATCCCTAACATAAGCCAAAGAGTCAATTGTAAATATGTCAATATGGAGAAGCACACTCTGTATTTATTGCTTATTTACATTCCTTTCTTTTGACGGCTGAAGGAACAGTCATTTTTCCTGGGGAAAGCTTTTTGCTGAAATTGACGGCAGTTTATTTTTGTATGTATTGAGTGTAAGTAAGAGGCATCTGTTTTCTGCATTAACCCAAGAGCAATGTTTTGAAGATGTTTTGTTGTGCTCATACTGGTGAACTCAAGTTTATGTGACTGATTGGTTCTGGACCATCTCTAAAAGCCGGACCAAAGTGATGTAAAGTTTTCCACAAACACTTGTACCTATGGATCAAATTAATCTCACATCTTATGGCAATCAAAGCTTACTAAAGGTGGAGCTGAACTCTGGGCCACATGTTAAAAAAAATTCTAATTGGAGATCAAGAAGTTGACATGTCGTGGTCCAGGCTATGAACGCCTATGGTTGCAACATTGTATCGAAATGTGTATCTTGATGTTTACAGGACTGTAAGCTTTGGGCTCTCGGAAAATCAGTTTGAAATAAATAAATATCCTATTTCAGGTGTGTTTGTTGTATGATTCAAAGAGAACATTCCTTCCTGTTGTGGCATTACTATGACATTTGCTGTTAATTTTTTTTTATATTTTGTGATTGGAATTAACATTTCATATGTTCAGCATGTGTAGTGGTATAGGGGTCACAAAAGTACTGGAGCCTAAATATGTGTACTTAAAGAGTAATTCCAAGCAATGTGTGAAAGCATTCAGCAAGCCACTAATACTTTACAGTACACACAGCAACTGTTATGCTAGACAGTTTACTGTATTTACCATATACTGAGTTCAGTGCAATCCCCTTCGGAATGAAGACACACACACACACATTCAGGAGAAGTAGGAGGGTAGCTGAGGTGTACTACCTAAAGCCTAGAATGTATAACATCCAAACACACTGCTTCATGCATTTCAAGCCTGGATTTAATCTATTATCAATGGGTTGTGTATTGGGCAACACTGAGATTCCTGCTCTGTTAAAAACTATTTTCCCAGTTCAGCTACCCTTCAAGTACATCCCTAGGCACTGCAGAAATGCTCAGAATGTACAGGAATGAGTGGACCCTCAGCTGTCTTTCCCTTTCTGGTTGTATCACTTTAAGTATGAAGCAGTGATCACAATAAGAGGAAGTAAAACCTACCCACAGAACTCCCAGCTGAAAGTATTTTTGACCACAGGTGTGAAATGACACAGTCTTTTGACCTGTGAAGTTGTCATGTTAAAAAGCTTTTTCTTAGCCTTTCTCCTTGTCCATTACCCTTATACCTAACTGCAAATATTTAGCTTTATCTTAGGGTGCACGCACTTTATCTATTGCAAAAAGGTGTAGTGGTGCTGCTACCTTCCTTCTATCCTCAGCGCCACCCGGTGCTAAGACTGAAAGGTCACTGATGCCTCTGTGTGCCGTGAACCACTGGAGGTACAGTCGGCACTTGGGTAAACATCAAATGGCAATATCCTTTATTGAATGGACATGAAACAGCTGTAAAACAGCCAATGCGTAGCAGCTGTCGGGCCGTAGTCATGGCTGATCCTCGACTGCTGATACGCGATGGATGTGTTACAACTATTTCATATAATTTCAATAAAGGATATTCCTATTTGATGTTTACCTGAATGCTGACTGTCCCTCCAGTGGTGCACTTTTGATAAATTGATCTAAATATAATCTGGATAGATCCTTTTGGAGTTACATGAAGTTTTAAGCCAGCCATAGTTGAGTCTAGAACAGATTGTTCTATTGATTGAAAAAGGAAAATATCTGATACGACTGTGCCATTCTTTGTTTCATTTTTCTAAGAAAACAAAAAAAAATCCTATATGTTCGATCAGGCACTTTCTATTGAGGCGCGAAAATTATATGTCGCAGCTGGAACACAAATGATGCAAAAAGCGAACAATTCAACAATCGAAAATAATTTTTGTTCTATTTTCAACTCACATATGGCCTACTTTATGAATGTACATGTACAGGATCTCACAGAAGTGAGACACCCCTCACATTTTTGTAAATATTTTATTATGTCTTTTCATGTGGCAACACTGAAGAAATGACACTTTGCTATAATGTAAAGTAGAGAGTGTACAGTTTGTATAACAGTGTAAATTTGCTGGCCCCTCAAAATAACTCCACACACAGCCATTAATGTCTAAACCGCTGGGAACAAAAGTGAGTACACCTTTAAGTGAAAATATCCAAATTGGGCCCAATTAGCCATTTTCCCTCCCAGGTGTCATGTGACTCTTTAGTGTTACAAGGTCTCAGGTGTGAATTGGGAGCAGGTGTGTTAAATTTGGTGTTATCGCTCTCACTCTCTCTCATACTGGTCACTGGAAGTTCAACATGGCACCTCATGGCAAAGAACTCTCTGAGGATCTGAAAAAAAGAATTGTTGCTCTTCGTCAAGATGGCCTAGACTATAAGAAGATTGCCAAGACCCTGAAACTGAGCTGCAGCATAGTGGCCAAGACCAAACAGCGGTTTAACAGGACAGGTTCCACTCAGAACAGGCCTCACCATAAAGAAGTTGAGTGCACATGCTCAGCGTCATATCCAGAGGTTGTCTTTGGGAAACAGACGTATGAGTGCTGCCAGCATTGCTACAGAGGTTGAAGGGGTTGGGGGGTCAGCCTGTCAGTGCTCAGACCATACGCCGCACACTGCATCAAATTGGTCTACATGGCTGTCGTCCCAGAAGGAAGCCTCTTCTGAAGATGGTGCACAAGAAAGCCTGCAAAGAGTTTGCTGAAGACAAGCAGACTAAAGATATGAATTACTGGAACCATGTCCTGTGGTCTGATGAGACCAAGATAAACTTATTTGGTTCAGATGGTGTCAAGCGTGTGTGGTGGCAACCAGGTGAGGAGTACAAAAACAAGTGTGTCTTGCCTACAGTCAGGCATGGTGGTGGGAGTGTCATGGTCTGGGGCTGCATAAGTTCTGCCATCACTGGAGAGCTACAGTTCATTGAGGGAACCATGAATGCCAACAACTACTGTGACATACTGAAGCAGAGCATGATCCCCTTCCTTCAGAGACTGGGCCACAGGGCAGTATTCCAACATAATGACCCCAAACACACTTCCAAGACAAACACTGCCTTGCTAAAGAAACTGAGAGTAAAGGTGATGGACTCGCCAAGCATGTCTCCAGATCTAAACCCTATTGAGCATCTGTGGAGCATCCTCAAACGGAAGGTGGAGGAGCGCAAGGTCTCTAACATCCACCAGCTCTGTGATGTCATCATGGAGGAGTGGAAGAGGACTCCAGTGGCAACCTGTGAAGCTCTGGTGAGCTCCATCCCCAAGAAGGCTAAGGCAGTGCTAGAAAATGCTGGTTGCCACACAAAATATTGACACTTTGGGTCCACTTTGGACATTTTCCCTAGGGGTGTACTCCCTTTTGTTGCCAGCGGTTTAGACATTAATGGCTGTGTGTTGAGTTATTTTGAAGGGACAGCAAATTTACACTGTTATACAAGCTGCACACTCATTACTTTACGTTGTAGCAAAGTGTAATTTCTTCAGTGTTGTGACATGACAAGATAAATAAAATATTTACAAAAATGTGAGGGGTGTACTCACTTCTGTGAGATGCTGTATGTTTGTGTAATATACTGTATAATTTAAAATGTACATTAATGTGGATATATTGTTTTCAATGTTTCAAATTGAAGTAGTGCTTGTGATTTTTGATAATTGTTTTGACCACCACAATGGCAGTAACAAACTCCTTTGGTGGTTGAAAGGGCTTATTCTCATTTAGAAACATGTTCAAACCTGTTAGAAAATCTGCGTGGCATTAGATCCTGGATCTGCTATAGTACAGAGCAAAGAATAAAACTAACATACATTCCTGGGTTCCCATCTAGGATAGATGTTTACTGGACAACACATTTTTTCATAAGTTTTGCTAACTGAAAAACATTTGGTGATTATGATAGACCCCTTCAAATGGAACAGAAATGTAATTTCCTAATTACTGTATCACATAGGAAACTTAAGAAATAAAAAATTTACTATTGACTATAACGTACTTATTTGCATAATGTTTCATAAGAGGTTTCCTGTGGATTCTAATTTCTATCCAGTGTTTGGTGCATCTCACCATAGTGTTCAACAATAATCAGCCATCATTGATGGATTCCAGTTGCCCTGTTCTCGTTTTTCATTGTGGTTATGTCTTGGTAAAATTTTTCATCATGTTCTTCACTGATTGCAGAAAATGAATCTTCTCTGACATTTTGCCATTTTGACTTGATGGTATTGTATGCTGTAACAAGTTTTTCAACGAACTGAAAGTAGTTAGGTGCTCTGTAGTTGCAAAGAAAATTCCCAGTGACATCTTTGAATGCTTTCTAGGTAATTTTTACTGGTGTATCTGATCTATAGACCAACAAAAATGCCTTCCT